CTAATTCACTTTTGTCCATGTGACATATCCATAGTAAAACCCTTATTGGAAATATTTGAGACATATAACCATCCTGGGCCAGTTACTGTAAACGGAGAACAAGTGCTCTTTTAGAATTAGATGGGGTTACCTGTCCACCTCTACACACGGGAAGAGAGGCATGCAATTTACTGCCCTATTGGGAATCATAATATGAGAACAATGGTTCTAAGGAATGGACACTTTGCTGAAGAAAAAAAGAATGTTGCTTCAATCACAAAATGAAGACTCCCTCATTAACCTGGGATCCTAAATACATGCCATTCCCTCCTAAAGTTGTTCACCATCCTAGAACACTGATTTGGGCGAACTGTGTTAACAGACTGCTTTGTTAACTGACACTGTCTACCCTAATCCAATAGAAGAATTCTGAAATATGGGGGAAAGGGAGAAGCCATGGTATTTCGTCCTCTCATTTTCTGCATCTGGAGGAATTCTCTGCAGTGGCTAGAGCTCCTGTACTGTCCTATTTCCTATTAAGTATCCGCACTGTGGTTTAGATCCCTTAAAGAGGTGCAATCTCCTCACCTATAGTAATCTCTCCTCTCTAGGATTCTACATTCCTCTGAGTGCTAGTGGTTTCCTGCTTGTAACTATCATTGTGTTGCCCCATCATCACTTGTTGGTTTTGTTGTTGTTGTTGTTTTGTTTGTTTTTAGCTCTTCTAACCCTTTTCAATTAGTTCCCCATATTAAATCCCCTCTGTGGAAGTACTGCACATAGGCATGCATTTTTTTTTTTTCTGATAGAACTCTGTGTAAGATAGTTACATGTTTGTGATACTATCTGTTATCTGACCAAGATAGTTGTATCTCCCATAAAATACCAAGTTCAGAAAAGCCATTAGAGTGGTTGGGGGAAATAAGTGGTTTATAGACAAAGTGTGGATGAACAGGTTTGTTTTTAATATCTGAAGTTACATTTGTCTACGTTCAGCTCAGAGTCGGTGTAGACCTAGAGGAATTCAGCCTGAAATGAAGGAAATCAGGAGTACTTTCCTTTTGGGATGTGGCTTTTGTGTCAGATAGCACAGAAGTAACAGGAGCTGGGAAATTCTCAGTAATTGAACTATACAAGCTTGCAGAGATACTCTCAATAATTGCCTACTCACGTGTGCCAGGTCATGAATGTCAGCTGCTAACTCTCTGGCAGGATTTCTACTCTCTCCTTCCATTTACATGCTATGTATTATTTCCTAGTTTTCTAAGGCCTCTTCTTAATTAGGGCACTATTTTATTTATTTATTTTTTTGAGAGGTTTTTGCCACGGAGTGCGTGTGCTCACCAGAAAAACAGAGAGAGACAGAGAGACAGAAAGTGAGAAATCACCCCCTGGGGAGGATGGCCACGGCGCAATCCCTTCTCCTCCATTCTCCTCTCTTGGGCATGAAAACACACACACACACACACACACACACACACACACACACACCTGGCGTGAGTTTAAGTCACTGGGTCTGGGACTTGAACTGCAGTCGACTACATGGGAGTCCAGCAACATAGCCATTATACTAACTGCTGGTTCCAGGGCACCTTCTGAGTAAGAGCTCTAACTCCTTCAACTCCCTGCTACTGGGTGTGCCTCGATAGTTCCAACCTCCAACCTCCCTGCAAGTGCCACAGGAACAAGGGATGAAGCTGGGAGGAGAGAAGCAGCGCACAGAGCACGGGGTGTGACTCCGGTGGGCAGTTTCAGATCTTGCTCTGTTGTGGTTTCTCCTCTTCGCAGCCTCCCATCACTGGGTCTCTTTTTCCATCTGAAAATTGAGGGGACTGAACCAGCTGCCTAAAGTAATCAGCTCTAATGTTTTATGTTCAACTATTCTTTAGCTAACTAAGTGACAAACACAAATTCTAGCCGCTGTTTCATCATCACTGTTGAAATTATATAAGCCACACCTCACTGTCTTGGCTGACCTTAAAAACACCTGTTTAGCACCTGCTATACACACTTGAAGTAATTTCAAGTTTTATTTTACTTCTTTACTTACAGTAAAATGCTGCTCTCTAATTATAAAGTTTTCGTGGTAAAGAGTCATTTGTTTTTTCAGTCATTTCACTTTCAAAAAAGTACTTCAGAGGTAATTTTTACAAAATGAACCATATGGTTTAAAACATGAAGACATAAGATATATTTATATATTTACTAGAATGGAACAAATTATCATCTTACATAATTACCTACTTTTCAGCTATAAGCTACTCATTTAGCAAAAATCCTGAATGCAGCACACCACTATTAACTGTAGTCTTCCTATTGTGCACCAGTTCTTCTGGGCTGTTCTCCCTACATATTTGTGTCCTTTGACCTGTATCTTCTCATTTTCTCCCTTTCCTGCAAGCCTATATATTTGACTCCTCACTTGCTCTCATTGTTAAAAAATTTTACAGGTAATTAAGATAATGTCATGTTTTCCCTCTATATCTGGCTTATTTCACTTACAATGTCTTCTAGATCCTTCTGTGTGGTACAGGACAGGACTTAATTATTTTTTAAAGCTGAATAATATTTCATCATATATACTATATACATATATCTATCTATATCTATCTATATCTATCTATATCTATCTATCTATCATTTCGTTATCTTTTGTGCTATCTATCTATATCTGTATCAATCTATCTATCATTTCTTTATCTGTGCTATCTATCTATCTATATCTATATCTATCTATCTATCTATCTATCTATCTATCTATCTATCTATCATTTCTTTATCTGTCTGCGCATTGATAGACATCAAAGTTGTTTCAATATCTTGGCTATTGCGAACAAGCTGCAATGAGCATGGGTGAGGGGAGGTGTTGATTTGATTCCCTTTGGGCATATACCAAGAGGGAGGATTTATGGGTCATATGGTAGTTCCATTTTTCATTTCACTTTTTAAGGAACCTCCGTGTTGTTTTCCACAATGGTTGCACCAGTCTACCTTTCCACCAACAGTGAGCTAGGGTTCTCTTTCAAGAGTTGATTTCTTTTTAATGGTGGTAACATTACAAGGTCAACCTTTTCCGTGCTTTCTAATTTGTGCTGCTTGTGCATTCTTCACATTCTTTAAAAATCCTTCTTGTTTATTGTCTTTTAAACATGTGATTGGGGCAGAACTGACATCCTTAGTCCTCGCCGGACACATTAATACACTTATATTTAGATGAAGTGAACTCTGGTTCATGTATATGGTTGCCTAGGATGTAGGATCCACAAAGCGATAGATCTTTCTTATTGGTGAGGTGTTTTATTTTGCTGGGGAGTCTGTTTTACTCACTGATTCCACAGTGCCTAGAACAGTGCCTGCCACAAGCTAGGCTTCAATAAACATTTGTTCAATCAATAAATGAGCTAATGGATCTCATTAGTGACAAGGCTGGCTCTAGCATGCTCTACACCAACAGCCATTGCTCCATTAGGACTGGCAAGAGTCTCTCCTAGAGGCTCCTGGAAGCACCTGCTCTTCGGGCTGTGGAGGCAAGGCCAGCGAGTCTTCTCCACTGAGGAGGCCTGGAGCCCTTGGCTCACAGTCACACAAGGAGGGAAAGCAGGGATGTGTATGGGGTTCCTCCCCGAGAGGCTAAATCTGATATCCCCTTCTCCCCCAGTTTGCCAAGGACATCAGCGAAGGCCAGCCAGTTCCCACCTCTCAGAGTGCTGGTCTCACTTGGTTGGGGAAGGCGGGACAGTTCAGGAGAGAAGGCCCTTGTCCCAGGGAACCTGGCCCTTGCAGCCCGGTGCCCGCCTGGGGCGGGGCGGGGCTCTCCGAGCCCCAGACCTCGCGGTCCCTCCCGGCGGCCGGCGGGCTGCGGCAGGAGGCGGGGCAGCCGCGCTCCCCCTCCCGG